AGAGCTACATAGCTCGTCTGACGCACCACATGCGTCAGCTGCATCCCGCGAGACTCAGGGAACAACGCACTCCAGTGCACGTTCCGAAAGACCTTTCTACATGTTCTCACGTATTCTTACGTGTCGACCAAGTGAGACAGCCTCTCTCCGCACCTTACACAGGTTCATATCGTGTTATTAAACGGTCTTCAAAAACTTTGGTGATTGACCATGGGGGCAAAAGGGATACTGTCTCGATAGATCGCGTCAAACCTGCGTTCATCGATGAACAACAGTTTGTTCCATCATCGGCCTTAACGCAATCTACGGAGCCACCTGTAACGACGCCCAGCTTTTCAGCTCCACCATAATCCCAGTCATCAGGTTCGCTGCAAACTAATACCAGTCACGGTAGAAGAGTTCGTAAACCTGTTCGTTTCTCCGATTTTGTCGAATTCATCCACACCTTATGAATCTTTTTCATTTTCTCGTTGTTTGTATTATGCTTTTCCGTTAGCAGAGTAAATATCTGAATCTGTCTCCCCGAGTTTTTTCCCATCTATCAGATAAAGTCATGAGGCTGGCACGTTTGGGTCCGTCCGTTCGACGGTTGGCTTTTTCTCAATTGTTTTGGCCGTTTGGATGCTTTGGTCTACCCCCAACGCTTTGTCGTCTCGCCCGCCCACGTTGGCCTTTGGATCGTGGTCTGCTTGGCTCAATTTGGCTCGCTCAGGTCGTTTGTCTGGCTCGCCTTCCTGGCTTTGGCTGCTTGTGTGCTTGGCTCGTTGTTTTTGGTCCCCCCACGGCTCGCCGGTATGAACAGGATTTCAGTTTCGTTGTTGCAGTGGATTAGAAGGCGGTGGGGGAGTGACCTCTCCCAAGCGCACCGTCCTTCAGCAGCGGTGAAAGGTCCTATCGGCCCTTTTTCTGGATTAGCCAGTTATTTTTGTAGTCCGGTGTGCCCGCTGGGACGGCCCACCGATGATGAATCCCAATCCACAAGAAGAATAAATAATCGAAATACCAACGAACTCCTATAATTCTGCCTTTCTTGCATCTGCAAGCCACCATCGATCGAAGTCCTCGTCCCTCGGCCTTCTAGGGGGAGGCCTGTGTAGTGACAATGACACTTTACTCCATCAAGCATCGCCATCAGACTTGTACACATGTTGTTTTACTTTGCACTCCTCCAAAGCTTATATATACCGGACTGCATTTTTGAACCAGGTCCGCCATCTTGCCCGCGCGCTGCCGGCTGTTGTGCTCCGACGTGGTGTAACTGCTTCACCACTCTCTCCCACTGTCCTCAAGCTATATTTACATAGTTATTGTACTGTGCTGTTTTCTCAAGACAATCTTTATATCCTGTCGTCTTCTGTCTTATCGTGCCACGGATTTCTTGTGCAGCATTCGTCAGGACGCTACAAGCTATGAACGCGCTGGGCGAGAGGTGAAACCGAGCTGCATATCGTGAATTTTTGCGTAGTTCGGAAGACCACAAGAGCCCGCTGGAGACTGTTTCTCGTTACCCCCCGACAGTAAAGCATAAAACGGAGTACGCGTGCTATCTGCCAATGTGCATAGTCTAAGGAACAAGCTGGATGAAATTCGGTTGCTTACTTCGGAGACGCGTCCAGACCTGGTGGTCTTCACCGAAACTTGGCTATTCTCAGATATCACGGACTCGAAAGTGTCTATCCCTGGATATCACCACTCCCGGTCCGATCGCCACGGAGTGAGGTCAGGTGTTGAAGTAATTCTTTACTGGAAGACATCTCAAAGTACATTTAGTTGAAGCTATCAGCAACCATGATGACAATTTCGAAGCCCTCTGGTGCCGTGTTCATGCTAGATGCAGATATCTCTTAGTCGGTGCCGTCCACAGAGCGCCATCGGGCTCCAAAGCGCGCTTGTCGGGCTCGATAAGGATGCACGATGAGCGCAAGGACTGTTTAATCTTGAGGGATTTCAATGCACCGGATATCTATTAGGACCTACTTTTTCGTGATCGCCGAGCTGACTCCTTCGATGCCACATTGCTTAAAACTGCACTCGACTGCAACCTCGTTCAACATGTCTTGACGCCTGTTCGTATTTTCCCAGACCAGACTCCGCACATCCTTGATCTCATGCTCACCCCAGCAGATTCTGATGTCACGAAGCTAACCGTTCTTCGACCACTTCATTCCACTGAGCTCGCCGTCTCACAATCCATAGTCCCAGTGGTCACCGACGGAATTTTTGGCGTGCCCATCTACTCTGGAAACGGCCACAAGGCTACCGATTGGGTTATCTGAACATACTCATTCCGACAATGCGTGGAATCTTGTACTCTCCAAAGTGGCGTCGCTAACTGAGCAGGTCGTTCCCCCCTCCCATCGAAAGGCCTTCACCAGAGATCCACCTTAGATGGAGCGAGAATTGAGGTTAAATACAAACAGAAGGCGTAAATTACAGCACCGTTTTAAGCAATCCCAATCAGAACCCGATAGTCGGAAAAGTTTGTGTCGCGATAAAACGTCAGAAAGGCCGAGAATACGAACTATCATTGGCACAACACACCACGATTGCGCCTAAAATGCTATACTCTTATTTAAAAACAAGCACTAGATCTGGTAAAGGCTTCCGAGCTTTGTGTTCTTGTGACCATCCAGCTTTACCTCACGAGCACGCCGAGAAAGCTAATCACTTGGCTAAGCTATACGCTTCTGTTTACGCGAAAGAAACACCATTTAGTGACAGACCAGTAATCTCCTTTTCATCTTCGTTAGACCAAATAGATAGTAACACTGATTCTGTGATGAAACTTCTTGTGTTAGATCCGTACAGCTCATTTGGTCCTGATGGATTGCATCCTTTGTTCCACAGGACTATGGCGAAGTAGACAGCTTCAAGCACGTCAAATCTTTCGTCGCTCACTAGAAGCTGGCCGTATTTCGTCAGCTTGGAAAGTGGGTATCGTCAAAGCCATCTACAAAAGAAGTCGATATGATCCAGCCAATTATCATCCAATGTTTGACGTCAATAGTGTGTAAAGTTATGGAACGGATCCTAAAACAGGCTGTTAGTCTTCACCTTGGGGGACAATGTCATTTCCTATACCCAGCATGGATTCCGAAAAGCACGCTCCTGTACCTGGAACTTGCTCGTTGCTAAGAAGACCTGGGCAAACCCCCGGCAAACGCTTGGACGTTATGTTTGTTGACTTCAGCAAAGCGTTTGACAAAGTCCTGTATGAACGGCTTCTTTTTAAACTAAGTAATTGGGATTTCTGGGAACCTGAATTGGACCTCAGAGTTACTAAACGACCGCTCCATGTAAGTGAATGACATTTTCTGCTCCTGCACAGGGCTGTCTTTAGTCCCGTACTTTTCAATATCTTCAACGAATTACCGTCCACTTTTCAGACGGACTGCCAAACCTATGCTGACTACCTAAAGCTGTGGATGGAAGTATCTAGCCTTGAAGACGCTAACAGATTACAATCTACGCTCGATCTGCTCCATGGTTGGTAGATTAAGGGGCAGTTGCCTGTGTATCATGATAAATGCTCTCTTCTCCCAGTGGGCTCATCTACCCTATTTGGAACTTACTACATGGTTCCTTGCTAAAAAGCGCAACCCAAGAGGGATCTTCGAGTGTTAGTGTCATCAAACCTGTAATATATCCAAGACACCCAGAAGAGGGAGGCCACGGCTTACAGGATGTTCCATAACATACGTAGAGGGTTTTCTCTCTTGACCCCGGGGCTTTTCCGACTCCTTTTTGGTTCGCATGTACGCCCGCTTATCGAATACGGGCTACCCGCTGTTTATCCACTCACTAAATCCGAATGTGATATGATAGAGGTTCAACGGCGAGGATCCAAATCCATCCCTGAGTTGCGAGACCTGTTTTATCCACTCCGGCTTCAACGGCTGAACTTTTTCTCTCGAGGTTCCCGCCGTCATCGAGGAGATTTGATATTCACCAAAGGTATTCTCAGAAGAGAACTGGGGTTCGAGTTACAGGACTTCTTTCAAGATAACACTGAGAGTTCGACACTAGGCCACTGCTTGAAACTGTTTAAACCGAGGAATCTTTGTGTGCAGTTCAATCTGGCCTTATCAACTCGTGTAGCGAATGAGTGGAACCGGTTGCCGGAGCCCATCGTTGATGCTGAGAGGAACGGTTCAAACAACTGTTGAATTCTCAAATGTGTGTGCTGAGATTCTGCTGCCTCTAATACAGCTACAGTGGTTCTCTGCAACGACACACACCTCCGCAATGATAAGTAAGTGAAGGAGCTGACAAAGGATCATCCTTCTGCTCTCTATCATCCAATATTCCAACACCCATGGTACTTTCCGACTGTTCTCATCCCAACTTGAAGTTGAATTGGAATTTGCACTCTATGTTTTACTTCACTCATTAGTATTAGTTTCCGTTTAAATGACCTTCCTTCCCCTTTCGTTTATTTCCCATATTTTCTTTACATCACGTGACCGGCATACCCGGGACTGCACTAGCAGCTAGTGCAGAAAAGGTGGGCATTATTTGGTTAACCAAGGTGTGGTTTGGTCGTTTCAGGTTAGTTTCGAGATGTCGTAGGACCCTGTAATTTCTTGGCTCTATGGGCCGCTCAAGAAGCAGCATCACGCGATTTAGCCTATCGTGCCAGTGCTGCCTTGCTATCAACATACTGTGTTGATAGAAAGACAGCAGCGATTCCATTGAATAAACGGCCTATAAGCAAAGATAGAAAGTGCCAACAATGCAGTAGAATACAGAAAAGCACAATTAGACATACTACGCTATTTCTGCTTGATCACTTTTCGAGAGCAACCGAAAAAAGTAACAACAACAACAACACAAAAGTAACACTGGCCGTTAATTTGTGTTGAGAGGACGGGTGTCAACTGGCGTTTAGGAATGCAAAAAAAATCATTAATGGCAATTGGGAGTGCAAAAACCGCACACCTGTGTGGAACAGAAAAAAGCACCTAAAGAAAACGGTGCCAAAGCAGAAAAACCAAACTCACCAAAGAGCAGCAAAAATTGCGAATTTAAACAACTGCATACTTGCATTTGGGCAGCAGGAAAGACCGTAAGGAGGATCCTGAAGGCATGCTTCACAGTAAATTGTTGAGTAGATCACGATACTTTGAAATTTATTCAGCTATAAAAGCACACAAATGCATGATTATACAGCTCCGTAAAACTAACAGAACGGCTTACCAGCATGAATTTTATCGTAGCCTTAACAGGAGTTTTACTAAAGTTATTTTGCGGTTCAGTTATCTTGCAACCAGTATGCCCGTTGTTTTACCAATCGACCGTTGAATGGTCCGTGGCGATAATATGAAACTTTAAGCATTTGGATTTCGGAGGAGCGCGTCGGAGTGTCGCTATAACCAACCAAAAGGTAAGATATCGTCGAGTACTGCCTAGATTCTGGTTGTTGTTTCCTGGTCTCTTTACCATCCTATTCCGTTTTCTGTGTCATTAGAACAGCCAGATTCAGATGGACTGAATGGATGGGAAGATCCCTTGAGAGTTCCTTCTGGAGCAAAGCGTTGAGCCAGGAAACGATAAGATGCTAGTTCTTGATAGATCTAAAACGAAACACCCGAAACACACCCCGATCAACCAATTACTGCCCACGTTCCCTGCACTAGAAGTCCGCGCTGTGCATGTTACGTGAAGTAAGAAAGAAGTAGAAAGTAAATGGAAGATAAAGGGGAATGGAAGTCATTAAAATGAAGGATAACACCAAAAAGTGAAGAGGATGACATAATAAGAACTAAATGGTTGAAGATGGATATGGTCAGGAGAAGGGAAAGTTTCCGTGTTGCCACCCAAGTGTGTCTAACTGACGCTCAAAACCCTTAACCGTAGGTTCACTGACTACACTTTCTAGGAGCGAGTTCCAGCGCTCGATAACTCTACGCAATAACCGAGTTTCCTCTCTGATCCGGCTTGTGCAGTTGCATGGGATGACCGCAAAGACAAGGCAAACTAGCCGGGCTAAATAGCCAGCTCAAGTCCGGTCCAGCCTTCCCTGTTAAAATGCGGTTAGTAAGTTTTAGGCCTCCTCGAAGATGTCGGTAGTGCACTGAACACATACCCAAGCTAATAGACGCTCGGGGTACGATTGCCCCCGTAACCCCTCGACCAATTTCGTGCCTACTCTCAAAACCCTCTCGAGCTCCATTTTGCCCCCAACAAGGCAGGGCGGGCAAGCCTAGACGAAGTATTCCAGATGGTTCTAAACGAAAGCTGAGAACAGCTCCACAAATATGTCGGCAGTTAAGACCCCGAAAGAACGGTGTATTAACCACAACATTCTAAAACCCCTACTAGCGGCCTTTTCCAGTTGTCACCAGAATGCAAAGACGAGGAATGAACACTACCTAGGTCTACCTGGTTGGAGACAAGGGGGAGTTCGCCCCCACCGAGTATGTAGCTCGAAGGCGGGAAAGTTGCTATTATACGAAGGACGGAACACTTAGCCTGACTTATGGGCAGTAGCCACAAAGTAGACCAGTCCCGGAGCCTGTCCAATGCATGTTGTATGGCTTCAGAACCTCCAGGAACGTTTAAAACGTTCCATAGCTTAAGGTCATCAGCAAACAATAGGGATGATACCCCAAGCTCTCCAGGGAGATCGTTTACGTAGATGGAGAACAGCATCGGTCATAGAACCGAGCCCTGTAGGACACCGCCAAGGACCGCTTGCTTACGGGATAAGCTGCGACCCACACGTACACACTGCTCTCTTCCCTGCAAGAACGCAGATACCCAGTGAAGCGCGCGGCCAGATACGCCACAGGACCTCAACTTTTGTGATAGCCTCAAGTGAGGTACCTTATCAAATGCTTTCGAGAAGTCTACGAAAAGCACATCTACTACGTGGCCATTGTTTAGTGCCTCGGCCCAAGCTTCAAGAGCAACCAACAAAAGCGTCAAACACGAAAACCCTTCCGGAATCCATGTTGTGCACTACTGAGTAGATTAAATCTATTCAAATGACATTCCAACGAATCTCTCACCAGCTATTCAAGCAGATTGGCCATGACGCTAGTCAGACTAAATGGCCTATAATTGGCTGACAGATTCCTGTCGCCATTTTGAAGATAGGACAGATTGTAGAGGGGCCGCTTCCAAGAATGCCTCGGGGGAGCTCTTCGGAGTTAGCTGAGAGCGGATCGAGAAGGACGGCTGGCGACGAGCCTGAGCCCGGAACTACGGAGCGGGAATATGTGGACAGCGCAAGAAATCAGACATATGCGCCGCTAGCGCAGCCCACAAGACCGAGGCCGAGCCGATTGACACAGCCAAGAACAAGCAAGTCGAGAGCTCTCGAACGACTCCTGGCCGATCCGAATCGGTTACAGAGAAGTGGAGATCGAGGCGAAAACAGGAAGGCGGGTCTTCCAAGTCAGAGCACCCGAGGCGAAAGACTGGCTCGTCTCTAACATCCGTATCTGTGTTGCGTTGTGAGACGGAAATCTAGTCGATATTCGATGGCGCGCGTGAGACCCTCATGTGCCCATTTTCTGTGTGCAATAAACGTCTACCCCCTGTCGTGTCGTTCACGCTACAAGATGACAGCCTCCTTCCATTTGGAAGGTAATGTACAGCTGTCAAGTGGCTTCTGAAACACCATTGTCAGCGGTCTACTTGGTGCCCCCACCAACTCATGCAGAAGCTACCGATAAATTGAATCAGGTCCAGCTGCTTTGGAAGGGTACAGTTCTTGCAGCAGTTTAAGGACTTGCGTTTCCACCACAGTAAACTAAATAAGAACCTTCAGGTACTCTGGGGACAAGCTCAAGGCTTGTCGACGCGGTCTCACGTACAAAAGCTCTTGCATAATGTTCCCCAAGTACACGAGCATTATCTGAGTCTGCATACGTACGGGTTCCTTTGGCCCGCATCAAAGTTGGGATTAGCGAAGTTGAACCACAGCGTCTCTTAACATAGGCAAAGAACATCGGATTTTCCGAAGCTCCGTCAGCCAATTCCTTTTCGTACACCAGCCGAACTTTCCTTAAGTGTTGTTTACACCTATTTCCAGCCTCGCGGTATCTATTATAGGTGCTAGTTGATGGAGCCGCACGGTAGGTCTTCCAACACCTAGAACGCTTCTGGAACAGGTACTTGCCAGCGGTATCTATCCACGGCGGCCGCGCTCGTGTCTCCTTTCTCCTCGCAAGCGGGATGTGGGGAGAAGACACTTCCGTGAGAAAAGATTTAAATTTATCCCAGGTCGCCTGAACAGTATCAATCACCGAGATTTCGCAACGCGTCCCAGCAGCCTTGATACGCATTGCCTAATAGTTAGCACGCCATTTGTTTGGAAATGGCTTAGTAATGCTCTGGTGACGCCTGGTCAGAGTAAACATGAACGATAAACAAACATGCTCACTAGCACCTAAGGGAGAGCTGTAAGTGATGTCCCCTACGAAGTATAGTGACTTGGCAAACACTAGATCCAAACTAGACGGGCGTTGGGCGTCCATGTACCTTGTGGAGAGGTCCACGAACTGCTGCAACGGTACTTGTAGAGTAAGCTCAAGTAGATCTGCATGTTATAAATGAACAGTCGGAATGGAATACCGCGGACTTTTAAACATAGGCATATGTGAAATGTCCATAGCTTTACACCTTTTGCGCTTTTCTCATTTCGTTTTCTGTGCGTCTTGTACAGTTGTGTTAATTGACCGCTTTTCATGTACAGAATGCGCGATTTCGGGCGGTGCGTTCTCCTTTCCTACGGCAGCATGTTAAGATCCTGTTTTGTGCTTTGGGAAGTCCGAGCAACGTGCAGCCAACTCTGGTATCGTATCACGAAGTGTGCAAACTCAATGGAGTGTCCAACCGTCACTACTGAAGGTCAGAGTGTTGCTACTTTTATCTGACACTAATCCTTTCCTTCCGGTGCGGTATTTTAAGACAAGTTTTGACTTCACTGCATATTTGGTGACCCCTATTTCGCATCTTTTTTTCCTAGTGGAATCTTTCGCCTGCGTAATATCGTCCAGCACCACTCCCTACACTGACTCTTCTGAAAATTTTGTTGGTTTTTCCTTACTCGCTTTTGACGTTAACAGCGCACATGTCTGGTTTTTATAGCTAGAAGCTCCTTTCAGTTGCCGTTAGAGCACTTTTCAAACTTCCTTGTTTTCTTGCTTCGCTGCCCATCTTCCCACCCACATAGCTACCCATGTTGGCTACCCGAACAACCTCCTCGTGGTGCCAGCTGGGTGGTTCGGGTTTAACCCGTTCCAGCAAATAGTTCGGCGGCAGTGTTCCAGGACGTGGTGGGTTTACGCCTGGCAAGCGTTCTCCCTATAAAAAGCCACAAATGTCTGTTTAACAACACTGCGACGTGGCGGATGTGACTCGCCACAAAATAAAGTCACTGGCCCGTGGATATCCGGAAAATGTTATCCAACCCACAGCCATCAATCGCTTATGCTCACATTCCCGAGGATCTCAAACAGTCAAAAATGCTCCGGCATATTCAAAGACACAAGCTACATTCATACAAAATTACATATGTATATACACCCATGCTCGCTGGATATCCGGAAAGTGCTATCCAACTCGCAGACATCAATCGCTTATGCTCACATTCCTGAGGATAACAAACAGTTAAAAGTGCTTCGGCATATTCAAAGACACAAGCTAAATTCATACAAAATTACATACGTATATACACTCATACACTTACATACACTGTTATGCCAAACATGTACTTTTCGCACATTTTTGATCACATTCTGTTAGCTAAGCATGATCATGCCTGTAAGGGTGTGCCTCGCCTTGTCGAGAATAAAAGTTTATTTACTTACTTATTTATTTATTACCTACCGGTTCCCTACGCTAAGCTTAAAACTGCCATTTTGAAACGCCATACAGCTTCTGATGAGGCCAGACTTCATCAACTCCTCTCCGGAGTTGAATTTGGTGATCGCTCACCTTCACAGCTTCTCCGTTATATGCGCGCTCTCGAAGGTTCCTCTAAAGTCGACGACAACCTAGTACGTCAATTGGGGCTAAAATGTCTCCCATCCAATACTGCGGTGCTTCTCGCTGTATCCGCTGACTGTTTGTCACTTGACAAACTAGCAGAAACAGACGACAAAGTTCATGAACGTTTCTTCCGGCGCCCAGTTCGTCACGCTGTCGTCACTTACCTGAGACTTCCTCGTCATCGGATCCCAATGAATCCAATTGCCTGAGACTGTCCACACTCGAATTCGCCATTAAGCGAGGACGACGTCACGCAGTTGAAGTTTTAGATCCACTTCGGTAGGCAGATACGGAAACGCT